TAAAATTTGGGTTCTTTTCTACTTACCCTCTACTTTAAAATTGACAACGTGCCGAGGGTTGCTATTTCCTTGGGAGTGAATTCAACCCCCTCTCGGGGCTGAAATATTTTTTATTGAAAATAGATTGAATTAGATTAATTCTAAGCAATTTTTGCTCTATAAAATTTTTACTGAAAATCAATTCATTCCGATTTGCACGTTCTCAGGCAGAAATCATTCAGATTAAAAACGTAGCATAAAACATCAAAAATATACTGGTAATAATATTATGACTAGACCCAGTACTAACGGACTAATTAAAGGTTGGTAGGTCCTCAAACACACAAAATCGAAAGTTTTAACTTGAAATATTAAAAAATACGGTGCATTTTTTCACACACTAGTGTGTGTCTCATAATGTGTGAAATGAAGAAGAAATACGTGCCACTTAAACAATATAACGACAAAGTCCGCCTAGAATTCGAGGGTCAGGACTGTGACTATCACGGATGACACAGGAGGTTTTACAAGGGTACGATATCTTATCAAACAACTAAACAAGCTCGGAGCTTAAATATATGTCGGCTGTACGACACTCTATCCCAAATACTTGAACTATGTCGAATTGGCAGTGTGTGGAAATTTTCGGCTATAACATAATATTATATCTCCAAATATATTACAGCCCGCGTTCGGCGTTTACACTATGAGATTTATTATTAACTCATACTGCTTCTATCGTGGTGGCGACGCAGGGGGAGGACGGGCATGCGGGGCACGGTCTTAAAAAATTAAAGCTCGATGAATCGAAAAAATATTTTAGGCTGTATGTAATATACTATGTAATATGTTTTAAAGGTTCAATTAGAAACTATGGTGAGCGATATGAGTTTATATCTCGAGATATACCTATAATATATAGTGGTGGTGGTATAATTAGAAACACTACCAACGGTCCTTGACATTATATAAGATACTTCACCGTAATCGTTCTTATTTTGAAATTAGACAACAGGACAACAATATGTTCAACGAATTATCATTTATTAGAAAACAATATAAATCCCATTACACAAGTGCAGTTTCAATATTATATTACGTAGAAACATTTAAATCAGTTTTAAAGTGTGAACAATAATGGTCAACTAATTAGAAACAACAACAAAAAAGTATGAAAAACAATGTATTTTAAGTATTAGTAATTAGTATTGTTATTTACGAAATAGCTACTATCCACAGCCTACCAATAGTTATAATAAAAATATATAGTGGCATATCCCTTACAAGTATCCGTAACAGCATTGCAACGAAGTGGCATTTATTCAATTAATTTCATACATTTTTCTAGGGGTATTGAATTCCATGCTTCAACAAATGCTTCATAAAGTTCGTTTTGACTGGTTTTACATTTGTTTGTGATTTTCTTTTTAAAAATGTACCAGAGATTTTCTATCGAGTTTAAATCCGGACCATCAGTCTAAAACGCATATACACTGTTCGCTAAGGAAACATTTGACGCTATTGGCCGTGTGTTTAGGGTCATTGTCATGCTGAAAGATCCCGGTTACAGGCAAATGATCATCCGAGTAGGGAATCATTGTGTGCTCTAAGATATTTTTGTATTGCCATTGATCCATTGTACCTTCAATCTTCCGAAATGGTCCAACTCCACATCCGAAAAACATCCCCAAACTTTAATGTACCCGCCACCGTGCTTGACTATACTTCTCCTGACGTCTAAAATAGCGCTTTCCATCGGAATTTAACATATTTATTTCTGTTTCAACTGAAAATAACACTTTTTCCATTCTCGTACCGTCCAATTAACATATATTTTAGAGAATAATGATCGCTTCTCTCGGTCTTGCTTGGTAAGAAGCGGTACCTTTTGAGCGATTCGTCCAGACAATTTAGCTTCCACTAATCTTCGGCGTATCAGTTTTGGCGAGATGTTTATCGGGTCATCAGGCGAAAAAACTTCATGATTATTTTTTTTAGCAACACGAACGATTAGCGTATCTTTTCTGGGAGAGGTTTTTCTTGGCCGAGCCTATCTAAGAACCTTTTCAACGGTTCTATGTATTGAAGTTATACTTCTTTAGGCGCGTTATGAAAAAATGATGAGAGTGAAATTTTTAGATGCGCGCGCATCACTGTAACCCAAAAGTAACAGCATGAAGTTGGCCGCGGGCGCGTTATGAAAAAATCATGTGAGTGAAATTTCGAGATGCGCGCGCATCACTGTAACACAATAGTAACACCATGAAGTTGGCCGCGGGCGCGTTATGAATGTTAGTGTCTAATAATGGTGGATTATTAACCACTAAGTGGTCCACCATTATTAGACATCTGTTCGAAAGGTACTTTGAACGATCCACGGAGCTCCATAAGACGATCGCGTTGTCAAAAACAATGTTGGCACGCTCGTCGCCTTGATCACTGTTTTCATATTTATAATATTTATCCACATGTTTCTAGTTTCTATATAGACACAACGTGTATTAGTTACTTACAAGTGCTAATTACATATGGACTAATAACTTAAATTCAGTAGTGATTTTAATTGAATATTTTGAATATTTATTTAATTTTTCAAATTAAAACTGAACTTAATTGACTGTGTTAACTATCCTTTTCTAATCCTTTTATTATTTTATTGTAATTATTAATTATTTGCATGCAATTAAAAAATATTTTTAATGATGCTAAAGAAGTATAACTTCTCATGCGCGTACATAAGTAACACGCATCCATTTTTTTTATAATGATCGATTGCATTAAAAACTTTCATAACAGAACAATTTAAAGCCCAGCTATTATTCTGTATGCCCACTTATGACCTATATGAAAATTAACAATTATTTGCCTGGTTGACACGTCACAACTTTTATTTTTGGCCATTTTAAACAATTTAAAGTTAAGATTAAATTTTGAATTGCCGCCAAAATAATAGTATAAGTCAAGAAAGAAATGTAATTCTCCAGAAAAAAACGAGCTACGGAAGCGTTTTTTAAATGTTTCTAATTAGGCGTCCAAGCGGCCAGTAACAGTAAATAAACTCCTACATGTGTAACACTCGTTTTGTAAATTAAGATGTTTTATATTTTGTGCATTTAATGAGTTTTTTATTTGAGTAGCTATATTATTGCATGGTTATTAATTATTGATTGTGTATTATTTAAATAAGGTCAGTTTTTCACGTCAATTTATGAGTAAAACTGTGTTGGTTGGTTGGTTAGTTGGCACTCCGAATGGTTTAGGCTAACTAGATTTCGTCACTTACTGGCGTCTATAGGTAAATAGGTAGAACACCTCTACCTATTTCAACACAAATAGGTAGAGGTGTTCTACCTATTTGTGTTGAAATAAAAATAGTAGGTACTGATTCCGAAGAAGAAACATTAATTCTTACTGCGGGTCCTGTTTATAGCCATATACTCACCAAAAAACAAAAAAAAAGCAATTGATGAAAGAATGGCTTAAAATAAGTAATCAATTCACTAACGACAATTTGTTAAATGAGTTATTGCTAAAACCAAATGAATGGAGAAACTATTTAAGGGTGGACGAAACGACATAGTGAAGCTATTAGAACATGTAGTTCCATATATTCATCATCATCAGCCTATTAATGTACCTACTGCTGGGGCACAGGCCTTCCCTATGGATGGAATATAGAGATTGGGCCATGAACCACCACGCGGGCCCAGTGCGGATTGGCGAGTGCTAACGACCGCGAATGCAGCCGGGACCAACGGCTTAACGTGCCTTCCGAAGCACGGAGGAGAGCTCGAGATAGTAAATTTTTGGTCACCCATCCAATGACCGACCACTGCGAAAGTTGCTTGACTTCAACGATCGCAGCCGAACATGTTAACCGCTTGCGCCATCGAGCTCCAACTTCGATAGAGTTCCATATATTGCTAAACAGGAATGACGATCACACATTCACGGGCAGTTTGGCGCTACGCCGGGTTGGTTTATGCTAGTCACGGGAAATTTCATGGTGCTTCGTCAGGTAAAACTCTGGAGTGATGATTCTCGCGATCAAATTATGAATACAATTTTTATGTGGACAACGCCTGTCTGTTCAGAGGTGGGCGCTAACATCTACGACGGTCCTCGACTACTGCGGCTGTTAACGCTAACTGTGGTTATGTAGAAATGTTTCGTGTTTCAATAAAGATTTTTATTTATTTTTTATAATTTGGATGGATGGCAGTTAACTAACGCGAAAAACTGACCATCACTGCAGCTTTAGGATGAGTTGAAATTTTCTAGTTTTCAGTTACATAGTTTTCAGTAACATTATCGATTATCCTAAAAATGTTGATAATGTTACTTAAAACGAGCTGATAAACTTTTGTTCAAGTAAAAGTTTTCTTCATAGTAGGTAGCGGTTACCTACAATGCGAAGGGTTGACGCTCCCTTGCAGCCTAAGAATTACTAGAAGAAATTCGACCCGGCCATTAGGGCCGTGGTAGCACAATGGTCTGCGCATACGCCCGGATAGTTGTTTTTTTTCTAAATTTGGTTGTTCTTTTCTAGAAAACCTCTCTGAAAAAATCATTTTCTAAGTTAGCTCATGTCTGATTTCACACATATTGGTTTAAAAAAACTAACATCCTTCAAATGCGCTCTTTTAACTGCGTTCATACTTCGAACAAACCAACTCTCAGATTACATAAACCGAACGGGGAATTCGGGGATCGAAAATCCAAAAAAATATTGCCAATTGTTGAAAGCTTGGGTGGTAATTTTCAATCAAAAAAGTGTAATAGGCATCAGAAATAAACAGAAAATTTTAATATAAACTTATATTCATTAATCTTTCACGAACACTTCTTAATAACTTTGAAATCTGCACTCGTTAAAACTACATGCAAGTAAAACGAAATTTTTTTTTCAATGTTTTTTCACGTTAGATAAAAGGCTGTTTTTTGCATCTCTAAAGATGCAAAAATTTCATTGCCAATGATAGTGGATCGTGGGTAGACCCCACGTGCTTTTCCATTGGCAGTGAATGAATACCCAAACTTGCAAAAACAGAAAAGAATATACGTTATTACTTAAGTGAAATTTTATTTTATTTTCATATTGAGATGGAAAAATAAAGATTTTTTACAAAATTGGAATTTACGTTTATTTTATTTACAGACGCAGGGTGTCGGTCGACTGCAAACTGATTTACCTGAAATTTATTAAGAAGGTAATTAATAATTTTAGTTAAACATGCATCATTTTTATGTGGAACTGATTTATCAGTCAAAGCATCCTAAAAAACCTAAATCCTTCAAATTCTTTATTTGGCATTAAAGAAGGTGGGTACATTGAAATGTTCATGTTAACAAAAATATAAAGGTAGCTTTAATAGTCCAGTCAATGAAAGCTTAACTTTGCCATTTTGAGTTGATCACCTGCAACCAACGCGAAAATTTCCGTAAGGGTTCGTAAATTAATATACTAAAATTGCAGGGTGCTTGCATTGATGACAACGGGTACAAAATAATGTGAAATGGTGCAAAAACAAGTTTTTCGTCAATATCTCGCGACTGGCTGGGAAAATAGAAAAAGTTCCTAGGACAAAGTTGTAGAAAATTTAATTTCCTTACTTACTATCTTACGGGTCAAATTCAACAATCACCACTTACTGAAATATATAAGTGAAATATTTTCGTGAGTCCACTGAAATGAAAAGTGTCTACTGAAATGGTAAAAAAATTACCACCGAAATGATACAGCTAAGAACATCGCCTTTGTAATAGAAGGGTTCTCTACTTTGAATCTAAATAAATTTCCTTATTCTTTGTAAATATTTTTGTACGTTATTTTATAATAAGAATTACTAATTAAGAATTAATTTATTGTTACTCCTATTAATTCTTATTACTAATTATAATTATTAATAGGTACATTTTCAAAATAACGAACAAAGCGCGTTTAGAAAGCGAGAAGTTTATTAGTTATTAAATCGTATTAGTGCCAAAACCGATTATCTGCACTTTTCCCCTACTGAACTTTTATTGTACCAATTGACTCGTCTCATTAAGGCGCATCTACAAGTAAAACGCATTTTGCTCTACGACGCATACTTCCTGAAATAAGTAATGAATAAACAGAATAACTGCAAATTATTTCCAATATTCTTGATTTAAAACCTAATAAACCCATTCAAAACACTTAAGTTTGTGAGTGTATTATCGCTGAAACCAAGTTTCGGATTTAAACTCATTTTTCATGTAGACACTTAGAGTAAATATCCTGTGAGATTATTCCGCTAAAACTAGGTATCCCACGGTAATTGGCTTTGACTGTTTGAATTTTACCAGCTATATTAATTTTACTAGATGAAGTAAAAACTAACAAATCTGTCGCTTTTTGCATAAAATAATATAGAGTATATTTGCGTTATATTTGAGGCAAGTAAAAGAAGATACCGAATTTCAATTTGTTTTTACTGAATTCCTTTTATTCGACGCTTTATAAATTACTTCAGCTAAAGTCGATTATCGGTGCTTACTCTTTTCTTCCACTGTAATTAATTAGCGTTAGTCATCGTTACTTTAAAATTTATGCTTCAGCTAAAACCAGCTATCCATGTTTAACCATCTCTTCCATACAAAGATCGCGCGCTAGCGACTCATTTGTTCCCTTTTATTCATTCATTGTTGAATCGCGCACTGGGCAACACTGTTATTCTTTTGTTTAATTAATCACGAATAAACATTTCTGGGTGAACTATATAAGTATATCATTTCAGTAATATGGAGACAATCGATTCGGTGGACTGTAATGCCGATAAGAGTACAGCGAATGACAGTATCGCCGAAATTATACATCTATAAGTTTTTAGAGATCCTTGAGTCAATATTAAATAGATATATTAAATAATTTCGGTTCGTGATGTACATTTACCTAGATACTGTAGGTTCGATATTTCGGGTGCAGTAGTATTTATGTCTAAAATATCTAGTTTAAAAATGCATATCAAAGTTAAAGCGAATGAAGTCGTTGGCGGCCGATAGTATTCCTATATAGAAAAGTGTAAATAGTCAATATTATTCACCTGCACTTGACTCGCTTGTACATAATGAGTCATCAGAAATTGTTTCTGAAGGAAACGATGAAATTGGCTTGTTTCTGTAGCCAAAGATCTGTATAATCCATGATACTCCTTAGGTATGACACCTTTGTTGCAAAAATCATCGAGATCTTTTTTCTTTGCTTTATATCTTTTTTTATAAATAGGTTCGACAAATGACTCCACCAGAGGTTAAGTGACGGAGGAGTCTAGACGCGAAGATAGCTGCTTTACTTCCCACACCAGCTATCCTCACTTTGCCGGGCTGCAGAATTGCTACTTCACACACGTAAGCGGGCAAAGTAATCCATTTGCGAATAGACTGACAAAGAAATGAGTTACCAAATTCATTTGTTCACGTTGGAATAGTGGGAATAGTAGTTCACAGTAAGTCGGTGACAACTTATGCCAGCGCGTATAGACTTCTGTAGGAAAGGGGGAGGTAGGTTAAGGGACAATAACTTCTCACAACATGCGCCATGGTATAGACGATAAAACGCGGTTAATAGCGCCACATCACGGCGTAATTGAAGAGGCTTGAGGTGTTTAGTCACCTCCTTATCGCGAATAATGCAGATCACGTGCCGCTGTAACCTATCCAAAGCATCAAAAAAGTACTTGGCGGAGCCATCCTCTGGGGTGCAAACAATATTCCATGCAAGACCGTAAATTGTTGCGTCTTGTACAACGAGTACAGTTGCTCAGGCGTGAAAAAACGTTAGTTTTACCGTGAAAACGCAGACCTAGGCTTTCTTGGCATTAAACTCAACCAAGTTCTTGGTACCATATTCGGAAATGCGGAATTTTCGGAGTTTACTTTTCGTCAACTTTCTTAGCAGTTATCATTTTAAACCAAAAACGCAGAATAGTTCACCCAGTAATGTTTATGAGTGATTAATTAAACAGAAAAATAACAGTGTTGCCCAGTGCGCGATTCAACAATGAATGAATAAAAGTGAGCAACTCACTCGCTAGCGCGCGATCTGTGTACAGAAGAGACGGTTAAACATGGATAGCTGGTTTTAGATGAAACATAAATTTTAAAGTAACGATGACTAACGCTAATTAATTACAGTGGAAGAAAAGAGTAAGCACTAATAATCGACTTTAGCTGAAGTAATTTATAAAGCGTCGAATAAAAGGAATTCAGTAAAAACAAATTGAAATTCGGTATCTTCTTTAACTTGCCTCAAATATAACGCAAATATACTCTATATTATTTTATGCAAAAAGCGACAGATTTGTTAGTTTTTACTTCATCTAGTAAAATTAAAATAGCTGGTAAAATTCAAACAGTCAAAGCCAATTACCGTGGGATACCTAATTTTAGCGGAATAATCTCACAGGATATTTACTCTAAGTGTCTACATGAAAAATGAGTTTAAATCCGAAACTTGGTTTCTGCGGTAATACACTTAAAAAATTAAGTGTGTCGAATGGGTTTATTAGGTTTTAAATCAAGAATTTTGGAAATAATTTGCAGTTATTCTATTTATTCATTACCTATTTCAGGAAGTATGCGTCGTAGAGCATAATGCGTTTTACCTGTAGATGCACCTTAATGAGACGGGTCGATTGGTACAATAAAAGTTCAGTAGGGGAAAAGTGCAGATAATCGGTTTTGGCACTAATATTACGATTTAATAACTAATAAACTTCTCGCTTTCTAAACGCGCTTTGTTCGTTATTTTGAAAATGTACCTATTAATAATTATAATTAGTAATAAGAATTAATAGGAGTAACAATTCATTAATTCTTAATTAGTAATTCTTATTATAAAATAACGTACAAAAATATTTACAAAGAATAAGGAAATTTATTTAGATTTAAAGTAGAGAACCCTTCTATTACAAAGGCGATGTTCTTAGCTGTATCATTTCGGTGGTAATTTTTTACCATTTCAGTAGACACTTTTCATTTCAGTGGACTCACGAAAATATTTCACTTATATATTTCAGTAAGTGGTGATTGTTGAATTTGACCCGTAAGATAGTAAGTAAGGAAATTAAATTTTCTACAACTTTGTCCTAGGAACTTTTTCTATTTTCCCAGCCAGTCGCGAGATATTGACGAAAAACTTGTTTTTGCACCATTTCACATTATTTTGTACCCGTTGTCGTCAGTGCAGCACCCTGCAATTTTAGTATATTAATTTACGAACCCTCACGGAAATTTTCGCGTTGGTTGCAGGTGATCAACTCAAAATGGCAAAGTTAAGCTTTCATTGACTGGACTATATAGTACAGTCAATCTGTAGGTTGAGTGGTGAAAAAAAAACCTAAAGGGTAAGTCTTGTTTTTTCTGTTGCTAAATGACGTCAGTAAGCCGCCTTGGCGATGGGCATGTTCAACTCGTAGGCGTTTTTTGAAAAACTCAAAAAAACCCTCAAAAATTTTATGAAACGCATATTTCTTGTTTTGTATGCATTTTAGAACCTTTTTTTTGACCATAATTGTAGAGGGCGTTGAGTATTACAATTTATGACATTGTTGCAATCTCGTACAACAAAAAATGCGCATTGTAGGTGGCGCTAAAGTCTCAAAAAAAGTGTTTTTCACTTTTTTACCCTGAAAATATCATTTTAATGGAAAACTTTAAATGGAAAAGTTGTTCCGTACATAATTACCAACAACTTTTGCATAACTTTTGTGTTTTTTTTCAATCATGAAAAAAAAAATAGTAAAACGTACATTGAAATGTGCACTGCAAATGTGTACTTGAACTGCCCAAAACCGCTCTATTGGATTTTTCATACCTGCGCAATTTATAACTTGAAAACGGTAAGTAATACAAAAACAATTGTTTATACAAAAGTTAAGGATATTTTTTTTCATGATTGAAAAAAAAATAAAAATAAAATAATATAGTAAAAACGTACACTGAAATGTGAACTGCAAATGTGTACTTGAACTGCCCAAAAACCGCTCTCTTGGATTTTTCATACCTGCGCAATTTATAACTTGAAAACGGTAAGTAATACAAAAAACACAACAAAAGTTGATGGTAATTATGCACGGAACAACTTTTCCATTTAAAGTTTTCCATTAAAATTGTTCGGGATGTACCGAAACTAAGATACTGATAAAATGATAAACTTGATAACTTGATA